GAACCGGCGCCCGGTCCAGGCGTCGGTTCGGCCGGGAAACGCCCAAACCGGGCGTTCGATTTAATTTTTTTTTTTTTTTTTTTCTGATTTAAAATAAAAAAAAAATTCTGAATTAAAATAAGTTAGTAAATTTAATATAATGTAGTTAATTCAATGAAATTATAATAATTTTATGTTTACAGGATGTCTAATTGGGCGAAAAAATTCGGACTGGGAAAAGGGAAAGGACCCCTGATTCGTCCTCCTGCAGATCCGGTGGAGGAGACTACTGCAGAACGGGAGGGAAGGACACATAATAGAAATGTTACCAGTTCTAAACGTCGTGGGGAACGCACTGGTGCTTTTGTACCCCCACGTACGATGATTGAGGAGGAGACAGAGACAGAGGCCGAGCAGGAGATGGATGCACACATGGATGCATATATGCATCCGCAGGAGTACGAGTACGATCCACAACTACGCTTTCAGCAGAAGTATCAGTTTCCGGTGCCGGATTTTCCATCCGATGACGATTACGAGGATGTTCCGACTCCGACTCCCCCGTATAGGTCACAAGTCAAAAAAATCTTTTTTTTAGGACTGCTTCTTTTTACTATTTTCACAAAAAGACCTCTTGCAACGAACCTCACCCAAACCACTACCTCATCCTTCGAGTCAAACAACTGAGTAGTGGTAAAATAATCGGTATGATCAACTTCAATTGTAGACGTATCGTCCTGAAAAAAAAACGTAAAAAAATTGATTTAAAAAAAAAAAAAAAAAAAAGGGTTTAAAACCCAAAAGCCCAACTCGGGCGCCCGACCAACATGGGCGTGCACTGCACTGTCGGGCGCCCGAGATGGGCTTTTGAATGTTTAGCCCATTTTTTTCGATCGAAAAGACGGAATTTTTACCTCGCTGTGTCCGCTATCCAGATCTTCATCCGATGAACTCATTTATGTTCGTATATCACACCAATAAGAATGATTTGTGAAGAAATCGTCTTGAGAGCGATTTTTTTTAGAGAGAGAGAGAGTCTTTGAACGGTAAATAGCAATTTTCAAACGGTAAAAAGCAAATCCCTTAATTGATTATCATTTGAATTTGGGTAAATTACAACCAACCCCTGAGGTATGGTCAAATTACGAATACCCTCTCATGTTTGGGTAATTACAACCACCCCTCTCAACTATAAATCTTTTTGCACGTCCACCCTTGCGATTTCAAATTTAGTGGAATCTTCTAGATTATATGTAATATTCTCAATTTTTGACCCATTTTATCTCATTCGAGCTCCACATTTTGAAGCTAGATGATCATAAGATGTGTTTTTTGGCTTGTATATATCAGATTGTGATGCATTAGAAACTATATTTTTTCACAAAACGAGTACAAAATAGAGAACATTCAACGGAATCTAGATGATTATGTTGAATTTTGACACCATAAGAGTGGAGATGTAAGAAGATTCATAGTCGAGGGGTAGATGTAATTATCCAAACATTAGAATTTTTTTCGTAATTTGATCATACCTCAGGGGTGTTTTTAATTTACCCTTTGAATTTTGAAGAATATTCTTTATTTTTTGTTATTTTAGAAACCTCCGTATTGATTTTTTTTTTTATTACATAATGATCCATACTACATTACTACTTGTTAATTTGAACTATCGATCCATAATGTTGCACTAATTTAAAAACCATCCACAATTATTAAAAAAAAACGAAAAAAAAGGTAAGCATTGCATAATTCCCTTGTGCTTTATATATAAACGAATTACCTACTATTGAATTTGAGGGGTTTTGTAGATGATACTCATACAACATGTGAAAACACATGGGTTATTTTTTTTTTTTACATATGACTGTACACACAATTATATACACGTGATATATACTGATCTATACATTTTTATAGTAAAATATAAATCGGTGAAGGACTGAAGTCCATTAAGTATAACTTATTTGGACGGAAATGCAATCCAAAAAGCAACCCATTTTGAAGAAGGCCCATGAATCCCTCCCATGCAAAACACACTAAGGGAATGCCCTGAGGGCTTAGCTCCAATCCAGGCTCCCTCATGAACGATCGGGACTAACGGAAGGATCAACGCTCGAAGAGCTCGGGGCGCGCATGATAAGGGGCGCAAGGGCGCTACTGCAGGCATTAATGGCTACGACATGTACAGAAGGACGCATTATTAGTTCAATACTGACAGTCATTCCTTATGTTCCTATCGACACATTAAATGTTATGACACCAGCATTTACGGTCCGGATGGCATATAATAAACCATTTTAGGGCGGATCAATAGCATAGAACAAACCGTATCCAATTTGGGATGGGTTCCGGACGGGGATTTCAGTATTTTCAATATTGGGATTCGGGATTCATATTTTAATACTTGAATCACCATGCTAATAAAACAAGAAATCTAATAATTTAGGATCCCGACCGATAAGTCTTCAGATTTCGACACAAGGACCGGAATTTCCAATTTATATATTAAAAATAAATGCTTCGAATTTCAAAATGGTAATATACTTGCTCACATTACAAAATTAAAATAAAATGCCAAAGTAAACATATAACACAATGTATTAAATAAAATATATCATGATAATTAAATTTTTAAAAACCGAATCTCCACAGGCCGACTTTAGCTCAGTTGGTAGAGCGGAAGACTGTAGTATGAATTAGCTGTTATCTTTAGGTCGCTGGTTCGAATCCGGCAAGTCGGAATATTTTGCTTTTTTGGGTCAGTAACTGTCGAATAATTTATCTATAGATAGGCTAATTAAAATATGCTTCCCAGGTCCGACTTTAGCTCAGTTGGTAGAGCGGAAGACTGTAGTTTGCTAGCTGTTATCTTTAGGTCGCTGGTTCGAATCCGGCAAGTCGGAATTTATTTTAATTTTTTAATATATTTTTTATTTATTTAAATGTTCTATTAAACGAGTGTTAGATTAATTATTTAAATATTTTTTATTAGCTTAAAAGAGGAATAATGCTCCAATTAAAAAAGGATTTAAAATAGTAAAAGCGACCACGTCAAAATACACAAATATTTCAATTGCAAAAATTAGTGTAAACCCAAAGAACACATTTTTATTTCATTTATTTGGTTAAAATTCGCCGAGAAAATCGTAGATCCCAATCCATTAATTTCTCTTCTCACACATTTGATGGTGAGTTTTTCCTTTATAATTCGTGTAAATTTATTTTATTTTTATTTGTTTTAATTTTCAATTTCCGGCGGAATTTGTAGGCAAACTCACTGCGATTGTACTTAACCTGCATTCGGAACACTCTGGAGGCGGCCTTGTGCTTGCAGGTCTTCTGTTTGTGTTCATTTTCAGCATTTTTTTTCTTCAGTTATATATGATTAGTTTTATTTTTAGGTGTTTTGATTGTAATATTTGGTTGTCTGCAATGTGTTTGTAGAATTTCCCCTGTCAGGAAGTTGAAAGGCACAATAAACCGGAAGTTGAACTCAAGTACGTACTTACTCGTTTGCATTACTTTGTTCGTTGATTTGATGTTTCCTGTTCTGTAATGCGAGAGGAAGTTTCGTTTTTAGAAATCGGGGCACCAAGACGAGGAATAGTTTGTTGAAATATTGGAATGCAATATGTGAATTGTGGTCAGCTAAGTAAACGTTGTCTTGGAGTAAGTTAATGAAATACGAACAACTGTGCTGCCCCCCGTCTCATTCTTTTCACATATATAATTATTTGCGGATGGTGATTCAATGAATGGCCACCTATATATAATTTGTAAAATTATTTTGTGTAACGAAATATAATGTTGCTTTGTTGCTATAGAATGGATTCTGAAGCGAGCATGGGATGTCATTTGATTGAGAACGCACTGTCTTATGTTGTACGTGCACGATTGACAAATCTCTAATACACAAATTGAATAATATTAATAAGATTTGCAATCGTACCAATTTAGATGTTTGAATGAAAATTACATAAGTTGCTTCTGTTTACTGATTAGAGCTGTAACTAGAAGTTCGGTCACAACTTTCTGCTACAGATGTATGAATATTCTGTTACTGCCAAGAATACATTCTTGATTAATCGCGTGTCTTTCTAATATCTTATGACTTATGCCGCACAATCTGGGTTTTTATCAGTTGATGGAATAACATTCAAATCTTAGCACTATCTAACGATACAATCGGAGTTCATTATTTTCTTTCTGTCTTTCAGGACCAGTCCGGAGCTTCTTCTGAATCCTGTAAGAATTCTTTTTGCCTAAGTATGCTGTACTGTTTTTTCATGTGTAATCTTTTGTACTAGATGATTTAACTACGTATGTAGAAGATCTACGGGAGGGAAACTTTGAGACCTTCTCACTTATTATATAGATGCCTGTAGGGCAAAATAAACCTTTTGTATCATGATTTAAGATGAGCAAATAATATATACACCATAATTTAAATGTAATCCTGTTGTTGTTTGTTAATGTTAAAATTAATCAACACAACAAGTAAACAACACAAGAAATAGATAAACTAATACATAATAAGTTCAAGAATCTAAAACACATAAACGAATGTGCGTACGGAAAAGCTCGTAATCAGTGATGTACCAAATAACCAGGCAATATGATACATCCTATGTTGCAGTTTATTAGCCGTAATTTCCTTATAGACTTTCTTTATTCTGTTGGGCTTTTCTGGAATGAGTGTATATCACTCGTGAAGTTTCACCAGCGCAAAAGTAAACCTGGTTAACTAAATATTAATTATAACTTGCTCTTTAGCAAGAGTTCTTTTCAGAAATACATTGAAATTTTGGCCAGCAGGGCTCATCAAATGTATCTACTTTCAAGCCTTTCTGGGTTAAGTGTCATTTTTGTTTCAATGTTCTTTGCACATCAAACTTACTACACACGAATGGAAATCTACCTCTACCAGTCTAAAAGTTATCGAAGAACTGAATTGCTGACTGGCTACAAATCTTGTATGAAATCCGTAGTTTGTGGTATCATGGGTAGTCACATCTTCTTGCTATTCGTCATTTTAAATTGTGTTTCTGTTGATAGCTGATACCAATGTTCTACTCCATTGGGAAATCAAACTTCGGTTAATATTTTTAAATTACAAATGGGCCCTTTTTATTCTCTGAATTTGCATCAACAGAATAAAGCAAGAGCCAAAATTGTTTTTTTTTTTTTTTCATCTCTGACGATTGTGTTTTCTTTAGTTTCTTCCATTACACATTTGCCGAATGTAAGTATGTTAACTTTGCACTGTTGTCGATATTGTCAACTCCAACTTGGTGATCATATCTTAGTCAATCACCCATTATTTTGCTGGACTTTATTTATTTACTTGTGCAACTTCCATATCCCAGGTTATGATCTGCAGAAATGAGGCGGAGAAATGCTTGATAGAAACATCTATAAACTCGTTGCGAATAAGCCTTAAGGTAAAAAAAAAATCAGCTTCATGTGTTGAAACATTTGGTATGTTGTCTCCATTAGCTTAATGGAAGTAATTTGTGACTACAGAATATAAATAAGTAAACCAAATCCTCAAAGGTGTACCTACCTGATTTATGTAGACAGATTGGAGAAGAACGAGTTATGACTAGTTATTTTACATTTCTAGTTTATTTTCCAACATAAAAAAAAAAAAAAAGTGCAAGTATAACCATCGGTGCGTTTATCAAGGAATAAGTGTGTTCCTTCATCATTTGTCCAATTGCGAGATATATTTTTCCTACCACTGCACATAGTCATGTTTGTCGTGTTTGTCGCCCTCAGAAGCTCATTGGATGATGTCCAAAGTAATATCATATTAACAGTTAATTTCCTGTAATATAAGTAACTTTAGATGTAAGTTAAAATGCCTTCGTACTTGCAAAATCTAATACCCGTATTCTTTTATGCGCTTACATAGATCCCTAATTTTGTCAATCGCGCTTAACCAAATGAATAAGCTCATATTTCTTCATATCAATTGATATGGAATCTCAGTAGATATCTCACATTTGCGAAACATTGAAATCCGTATGGTGCGTTTTCATTATAGGTTAAGCAGGCAGATGAACTTGAGAACATTCTGACGAAGAAGTTCCTTCGATTTTTGTCGATGAGAGCGGAAGCATTTCAAGTATTGAGGAGAAAACCAGTGCAGGTCCGCAATTCTCTTTCGTTGTTAGTTAACAAATAGCTTCGGTATTGCATTTAGAGAAGCTTTTGTACATTACGACGATATATGTGCACCATCTTTTCTTTTCCAATAAAGCTGCATGGAAGCTTTGACGGTGCGAAATTTGAAATTCGTTCAATGTTTGCACACAAATTGATGCGTTTTTCCTTCGTAATCTTGTTTCAAAACTATTTGACTTGATTTCGTCTTGGATCTCCCATCTCTCTAACTGTGAATATGTGATATATTTCTGGTTCGTGTAATAAATATTCATTTTAATTATCTCCCGATTAATATCTTTATTTATTATTATTTTTTATTTTCATATATTTACTGAAGAAATCGTAATGGTGTTTCGTCGACTGGTTTGCTTCCTCAGGGATATGACATTAGTTTTCTCATTACCAATTACCATTGCGAGGAGATGCAGAAGCAGAAGCTGATCGATTTTATTGTTCAGTTCATGGAGGTAAATACGTATGAATTATTTCATGAATTAAAAGTTGAATTTTGGGTCTACGTGATCTTTCGTTGTTTTGATTTACCGAATCTTAGGCTTACGAGAAAACGGGATATGTATATGTGGAGAAACTTATTTTTCTTCTTTGAAATGACAGGACATAGATAAAGAGATTAGCGAACTGAAATTATCGATGAACACACGAGGGAGGCTTGTTGCTACAGAGTTCTTGAAGCAGTTCATCTGATATGAAGCTTCCATCTTTTAGAATCCGGCAAATGTGTCGGTCGGGCCCACGAAGAATCGATGCTAAGAGCACATAATTATCAGATAGTGAGCTAGTAGAGCCATCTAATGCTATCTAGATTCTTATGTCACTTGTAAAAATTGAAGAAAAAAAAAATCAAGAATTCGTTCAAACTCGGATTATGTCATCAAATTGAGTTAAATCCTTGCAACAAGTTTACTAAGTAAAGCCATTTTTTTCATTTCATATTATTGTAGAGATTCATAATTTATTGTTGGGGTAAATAGCACTTAACCCCCTGTAGTTTGAGCTTTGTGCACATAACTCCCTTGTACTTTCAATACAAGCACACGACTCCACTGTAATTTGAACTTTGTGCATATGATGACCTCATTGTACTTTTAATATAAGCACAAAATTATATTTTTTTTATACTTTTATATAAGTAAAAAAAAATTATGTTGATGATAAAATAGTCAATTAAAAAAAAGGTTATTTGTAAGTTACTCTTTTTTTAGTGGCAAATTATACAAGAGTGAACTTTTAATGACTCAAAAAAAAATAAAAAATAAAAAGAGGGTGAAAATAATAATTAAAAAAAAGATTTAAGGGCAAAAACCACCGTGAAACAAAAACCCTCTCTCACACACATACACCAACTAAAACATGTCGCCCTTCCGCCACCTACTCCGGCGATCCCCGGCCGGATCTGCCGTGCGCCGCCACTTCTCCACAAGCTCGTTATCCGAATCCTCATCCTCAATCTCATCGGCGCACCGCAACCAGCACGATTTCCTCTCTCCGAGCACCTACATAAACTCATGGCAGCCCTCCCGGTGCCCCAAGGAGGCCGCCGCACAGCTGACCTTCCTCCGCCGAGACTACGCTCGCAAAATGAAGGAAATACGCAAGGATTTCATCACAGAAATGGAGCTCCAGAAAATCGAGAAGATGCGGAAGAACGAGGCTCGAATGGAGGCGCTGAGGATTGCCAACGAGGAGAAGAGAGCGGCGAAAGATGCCAAGAAGAAAGCCGAAGCCATCGAGAGGCAAGCCGCCGAACAAGAGTTCCGGCAAGTTTTGGTATGTGAAAACCCCTTTTCTGCCCTTTTCCGTACAATTTTTGCCAATATTATGTTCTTACTGTGTGTAATTTGGTGTTCACTGTTCTTAAATTGATTCTGTAATTGTTTCAACTTATTTCATTATTAAGTATTAACCATTGGCCAAGACGAAATTAAAAAAAAAAAATTAAAAATTGATGTAATGCACAACAATATTACACTAGTTTAAAATCATGTCTTTATATGAAGTAGTGGATATTGTTTATCACCAAGGCTTTAGTGGTTTAGCCTAAGTTGAATTGCAGGGGGATTTGTGAGATGTCGGGTGTTCGAATCGTGCGCGTGTGTTGTTAGGCATGGCCAGTAATTTCTTTTTAAATACTAGGTTTTTGAGAAGTGTTTGGGGGGCCAGCCCCCCTGTGACTCTATGGCTCCGTCACTGTTATTAACTAATTCTTAAGAATTGCCGTTGAGAACAAAGAAACAAAACATTCTCATTGGTTAAGAAATTTGGGGGTCTCTGTAGTCTCAACTCTATAATGACAAAATTTAATTCGAGCGCATTCATATGCTTCAGTATTGGGTTTTAGCCTTTTGTCAAATGAATGATGGAGTCTCGTTTAGTTTATGTCCGGTTGAGAACTGAAGAATCCCGAGTGGTAAATTAATATAACTGTTTTGCACCCTAAATAATTTAGTTTCACATTATGTGGCTTAGACTCTCACCTGTGAGTATGAACTACATGAAAGCATATGTTTTATCTACTTTAAAAGCATTTTGACGCCGTTTGTTACTTTTGGTTAGTAAAATACGTTACCATGTTCGATGAGAAACTTCCGCTGATGCATCATTTTAATATACATACATATATATATATGTGTGTGTGTGTGTGTGGGTGCAGATATTTTGCTACTTTTTCCTAGTTTCTTCTATCGCTTAGTTGCAACCAGCTAAGTAGGCGGAGCTAGGGGATAGCTAATGGTGGTCATCCCATCTATCTTAATTTTTTTATGAAACAAAAAAATTATTCGTTATTTGCTTTTGAATAATTGAATTACGCTAACAGCCCCCTCAAATCTGTTAATCCTATTATAAGCATGTATAGTATAGCGATGTAAAACCTCAGCTTTTCAAAAGAAAAACTAGTGATATTGTTTGTATAATTATATTTTAAGACAAATTTCGTAAAGGTCTTTGTTTTAAAATTTTATTATGAATTTCATTTCTACAATTATAGCTTATTTTAGTCGAAAAAGTACTCGTCGTTGTTATTGTAATTTGAGGTATTCCCACCTTTTATTTTATTTGTAGTAAATTATAAAGTTTAGGTTATCTATGATATAACCACCACTTCATCTCGTTAATGGTTAATAAAATAACGCTTACATCCTATTTGGTTTTGGAGTATGCATCCAAGGTTGGAATCCAGGCAGATGGAACAGTCGTAACTCAGAAGTGTTCGACACAAGCATTTGCTTGTATAACAATATTTTTTATGTTGTAAGTGCAAGGAATAGGTACAGGCTTTTTATTACAGGCCAAGTAACAGCAATAGTTGTATTTGTTCAGTCAAGAGTTTTTCGGAAATTGTCATCCAATTTTAAATATTACAATATCGTCACGCCTTACTTTTTATATAACAAAATAACAGCGAAAAACTTTTGATTTGGGCTGAACTGGATTTGTTCTAATTCGTAATGTTGGGGGGTTATTTTGCAGATGAAAGAAAGAGAAGATAAGCTTGAATATTGGAGGATGAGAGAGAAGAACATTCAGAAGAAGAAGAAAGATAAGAATGAGCTTCTGCGCAAACAAAGTTCTTTGTGGGTTGATGTATCTGAACTAGACAAGAAGATTAACGAGGTCTTTCTCGATACCGTTCAACTTTGATTTCAAAAATTCCGACTCCCGATTTTCTTTTTCGTGTCTAAAAATTGTTCTGTTTAACTCTTACTATTTACATTCCTTTGGGGAATTTGTTGGCCTTAGATAGTTGGGGTAGCCGTTTCTTCAGCAAGAACTGCATGTCGTTTTCCTTTTGTTAGAGAATGTTCGTTCCATGTTAAGATTTAGCGAGGAACGATATAAGAATGTAATAAAAGCAAACAACTTGGTAGCTGAGATTCATTTTTAACATACAAAAGAATTGTGTTTGTGTGTCTGTGTGTTAGTATATATGGTTAAATATTCTTAGCACCTTAAAGTAGGGTTTGTAACTCTTGGGCTATTACGGCCACTCTACCTAGCGAGGTGAGGTCAAATTACAAAAGCGTTACGAGGTCTAGGGTTCGAATCCCAACTCTCCCCCATTTTTCCAATTTGTAACAGAATTTTTAAATTCTAAAAAAGATAAAATTTACTCCATAACTGGTTTTATAATGATGCTGAAGTATTACAATATTCATTCAACCAATAGTGTTTCTGCATCACTTGTAACAGTAACTCAACCAATAAAATTTTCAACTGGATCAAAGAATTAATTTAGCCAATTGAAGAATTTTCAAAGAAAAATAAATTTGAGTAATGCCCAATTCATGAAATTACTAAAAGTTTCAAAAACCAAAAAACAAAAAATCATAACCATGTGAATAACCAAATGAATTTCGATACAAGTAAACACCAAAAAGAGTGTACACCATAAACATTAGTTCAAACAAAGACACAAATCCATAAAACTAACATCTGCAATTAGAGTTCCAAATGTATAGAATCTCTTGATCAAAATTTCAACATCCAACAAAAAAAAACATAAACCAACCATAAAAGAAGGAATAAAAAATCAAAACCCGATGATTCTTCCTTCTCCATGTATTACCGAGATTGATCGCACACTTCTCACTTAAGAGGAATGAACCTTGAAGAGTGGGTGGCTCCAATACCAGGTCTACCGTGCTTAACAGGCTTGTACGAGATCGAGAACTCGGCAAGATAGTGGCCAATCATCTCAGGCTTGATTTCAACTGGGTTAAATGTCTTTCCATTGTACACACCGAGAACACTTCCTATCATCTCGGGTACAATGATCATATTCCTCAGGTGGGTCCTCACAATAGCGGGCTTCTCACCTTGAGGAGCCTCACGTTTCTACAAAAACGAGAAATTTATTTTATTCACAATGAAATAGAGATTTCCTAAATAATCATAAAGTTTATTAGATGGTTTGACTAGGTCATATTATAAGTGCACGATATTGTACAATTTCTTGAGAACTAAATCACTGAGGCAGCAACCAGTAGCTATGAATCGGAAGTATTAAAATAAATTTATTTACCATTCTAATGATTTCGGGAATCAAATCCTACGAGTTGCTAAAATATGCTTTTGAAATATGGATTTGTTGACATCCAGCTTCAAACAAATGACTACTTTTAAGAGTACAAAATAATCGGTAAATGTAACTTCTGAATCAATAAAACTTACAGCCTTGCGGAGTTTCTTGATCAGAGCCATCGGCTTCCTCTTCAAACCCCTCTGAAACCTGCATATCATGCAAATGAGATAAAATATAACCTCAACAGAACGCCCATTTCGGAGATAAATGTGTGCATCAAAGAGAGAAAAAACATCTCGTATACATCACTAGGCTAATATTAATGTGTCGAACATAATAAATAAACAAGAGAATTCAGGTTCAATAAAACGCGGCATGTCATCCATACACAGACACTTGTTTATTTTATATAAGCAGATTGAACATTTTAACTGAGCAATTAGCACCAAAGTCAACCTTTACCACCACAGTAACATAGCATCAATTATATACACTTTCCTAAATAACAGAGATATAATGCAAAAGGCAAGCAAATGTGCATAATTAAAAAGCACAAATCGAAAAAATCTTAAACTAAGATAAGTACAGTCTTGTATCCAGGGTGGACTTAAGCCCACCCTCAATTGATAATTACACAAAAAAAATCCCCAAATTTAATTAATTAGCCCAACAAAAATCCAACTTAAAGCAAAAAAAGGCTCTAAAAAAATGTTCTTTTTCTTTTGTTCTTTTCCTATTTTCTGATTTTGTCGTCAAAAAAAATATTGGGGGCAATGACCCCCAAAATTTTACACCCGCCGCGTAACAAATTACTAGACTCGCCACTGCTCGTACCCTACCAATAAGTAGCAACCACAGTCTCCTTCATCAGTTGCTAAACACTAAATAACTCAACATCATCAAACCCTAAAAATAGGAATAAAAAATGACACGTGCCAATCAAATCCTCCCAACAAAGCACGAATTTCAGATCCAAAAATGCAAAACAATAAAAATAGGCAAATTCACTGAACAAATCCCACAAAAAAAAAAAAAATTGAAGAACCATTACACAAACAAAAACAAAATAACAAAAAACAAAATAAAAAAAAAAGATAGAATTTTTGAACCTTCTTCGTGCACGAGCGTTCAAGAGCTTAACAAGGTCATCGGTGGACATATCCAGAAGAGCATCGAGATCGACACCCCTGAAGCTGAACTTCTTGAACGTCCTCTTCTTCGGCTGCTGCCCCGCCGCCACCTCTGGGTCCACATCCGCCTGCATAATTAAACAGTCAGTACAATTTTACACACAGTGAGCGTGTTTTTTTTTTTTTTTGTGCGAGTGAATTGATAAAAATTAATAGCAGGGTATAACGCTTCATTAACCATGGTTGCCGGAGATTTAGTTTCGATTGAGATCGGAGAAAGGTCGGGTCTTCTTCACTTGTCCGCCGCGGCTAGGGTTTCACGAGCAGAGTGGCAGTGGTGTGAAATGGTGGATTGGGTGAAATTTATATATGAGAGGGGGTTAGGGCTTTTTATGGGCTCAGCCCAATTTAATTGACAGGCCCATACATCATTAAATTGTAAACTTTAAAATAAAATTGGTGTGGTTGGAATTATAATTCAAATTTAGATAGAATAAATGTCAAATTTAATTAGTTTATTCAAAATTTAATATTGAATACTACAAATTCTTTCTATACTAATAAGATATCTTACCTGTAATTATTTATTTTTAATATTTTTTCTCTACTAGTTTCTAACTATAATTTTTAATAATTATCAAAATTAAAATTAACCTCAGGAGAATCCTACAGTATTGCTACTTATGCAATTGTTTATTTTTAATATTTTTTTTTACTAATTTTTTAACTATAATTTTCAACAAGTATTGATCTCCTAATTTTCATCAATATGTTTCAAATCTTAAGAAATAAAGCTAGAAATTTAATACGAATAATACTATATTATTAAATTTTATTATATTAGTGTACTATATTTTCTTATTATGTATTAAATTGAATATTTTATTTTCACTGTTTAAATAATATCCCGTGCATCGCAAGAGGGGGAAAAATACTAGTTAAGAATAGTTAAAAGAAAAGAAAAGGTCATGTCCATTATTATTTTAGGGCAAATTCCACTTTGCCCCATCTATATAATATATAAAGGGATAATACACAATTGAAGTTTTGACATCTTCAATTTTGATCCCAAATCTTTTCATTTCTTTTATTTGTGGACTTCTTTCCTTAATTAGTCTTTATTTCATTTTGTCTTATTTATTATTTAACTTATTTCAAAAAAATGATTTCTTTATTACATTTATGTTAATTATAAAATAAATATTATATTGATATTTAATAAGGAAATTTCGAATTTCCTTTGATTTGGCCAATCATATCTTTTATTTTTTCTTACAAATTTGAATATCAGCATTTATGTTAATTATATAATAAATGGTTATTTCCTTATTTATACATATTTAACTTAATTATGATACTCAATACAAGTATAAAACCACATTTCTCATCCAACACCAAAGCAAAATTGTCCACCCGGTTTTATCTTCATCTTCACCTCACTCCGACGCCAGAAGCAAGAAATGAAAGAAGAAAAAAGATGAAAGAAGAAAAAAGTTGGCTGATGATATTTTGTTAGTGTTGTTTTTTTCGTTTTTATTATTATAATTTTTATACAATTTTATTTCAATGATGCTTTATCATTTTTATTTACTTATTTATTTCTATTGCTTTCAAAAGATATTTTAAATTACCATTCTATTTTATTTCACTTTTTTTAATATATCCATTCAAATATTTATACATTTTTTTAATAAGTTTGAATTATTCTTTTTGTATATTATGTTCTGTTAGTTTTGGTTTTATTTTTATATTTTAAACAACTCCCAATGTTAATGCTATTTTTTTCATATAATTTTATTTCAATAATTTTGTAGCATTTTATTATTGTTTCGCATTATTTTTAATATAAAATTCGATTCACTATTCATTTTTATTTCTATTTTTTAATAATTCTATTCAAAAGTTTGTTCAAATGTTTAACGACTTTGAATCATATTTATATATTTATATAAAAGTGGAAATCCATTCTTTATGTTTTTTTTTAATTTTTTTTTCATTTTCTTAATATTTCACGATTTTATGGTATTCATGTATATTTTAAATAGTAGCAATAAGTAGACTAATATACCGTATTTTAAACCAGATTTATTTTCTTGGTGATTTCTTTCCTCGGTTACTGTTTATATCAATGGATTTCACAATTATTTGTTTAAAAAAAATATTTTACGTGTTTTTCAATATTTTCATGAAATTAGATATTAAAATTCAAAAACAATGATATTAATAATTTATTTGATTAATTGTCTTACCTATTTTGCACACCCTGCACACATATAAAACCTCCTTTTATATATATATTTTACTAATTGATTTTCATCAATATTCGTTGAAACAAGCTACATACTAAAAATTGAAACTAAAATTGCAATTGATTTTCATACATCCAGAAATGGAAATTTCTCGAAAAGGATAATTCTAATGCATTCGATCCGACTTTCACCTCTGAATGTGACAATCAATTACATATCTACATATTTATAATTAACCATTTATTCATAACAAATAATAAATAAATTATTTATTTATTAATTTGTTCCAATCGAAATATTCAAAATAGTTTAACTATTGCTTAATTTGGATACAACCACCATTCACCTTAGGTTAATCTTTAATATTTTATTTTGAGTTTTCTAAACGGATAAATACATATAAAACAAATAACTACGTTGTTTATTTATTTATTTCAATTGAATCATTCAAATTTAAGTCTAACTTTTTTTTTTTTGAGTAAAAATTTAAGTCTAATTAAGACTTAATTTGGATTTACTTACTAGAAAACCACCAATTAAATGTGGTCAATATTTAACATATAAGTTTGTTTAGAAAAATATAAATTCTACACTCTATGTTTCATTCATTCAATGACAATCCCATTAATTACGCATTTTCAATTTTAACTGAATTGTTCCTTTTTTATTTATACACATACAATTTATCCTCAAATACCTTTATCTCATATATTTTTCTTTGACATCCTAATAGGTATTCTTGCAATATAATTTCGATTATCTAATGAATTATCCTAATATACAAGTTGCGACATATTTTTTTTTTTTTTTTATTTATTTTTTTACTTTTTTCCTCTAAACCATAAACAATAATACAATATTTAAAAATTGGGTGAACAAATAATTTTACTTTTTAATTGTGTTTAGTGAACTATGTGTAGTACTATTTTAATTGTTTTGATAAACCTAATTTCACTTAAATTGGGATAAGTAGTTTTAGAATATTATTTTTCTTATTGCAATTAGATAGAAAAGTAAAAACTAGGTAATATTTTTAATTATTGTTTGATGAATTATATATGTGTGTTGTACTATTTTCATTGTCTTGACATAATCTAAAACTTATTTAAATAGGGATAAATAATTTTTAAAATATTTATATTGTTCGCATTACTAGAAACAACATTTAAGAAAATGGTAAACGATATTTTATAATGGGAAAATAATATTTTTTATTGTAAGTTATAGTTCGATGAATTTTGTGTGTTTTAACTATTTTAGTTGCCTCATCTAAAATAAACCCATTCAAATCTTGGTAAATAATTTTCGAAATACCCATGTTGTTACCACAACTAGATAAAATATTTTTAAAAATGATTAAATGACATTTCATACTGGAAAAGTAATAATTGTTTACTTATTTCATAGTGAAATAATTATTTTAAAATTTTAAGTTATTGTTCGGTGAATTATGTGCATTGAACGATATTAATTTCTCTGAATAACATAAAACCACAAATATATAAATTACATTTAAAATATATATTTTGTTATTATCACTGGACAAATAATTTAAAAAATGGAGAAACGAAAATTTACAATAAGTAATTGTTTAGTGGATTAGATGTGTTCAACGATTTTAGTTATTTTAACTAACCTAAACCCATTTAAATATTGATAAATTATTTATAAAATATCTATTTTGTTAATATTACTAACTACTAGATTTAAAAAAAAAAGGATAAACGGCAATTTATAATGAAAATAAATTATAAAGTAAACATGTCATCAATTCTTTTTCCATATATTACTTCATAGAGATATGTTTTAATTGGAGTAAACGGATTTTTTGTACTCCTAATTATTTTTTGTGCACTATTAAAAGGAAATATTAATTAATTATGGAAAAAATATGTCTGATTTTATTTAATGTTACGATTAATATTAATATTAGTATTCAGATGAGTATTAAGATTATCATTAGCATTACCATTAGTATTAACATTAGCATTAGCATTAGCATCACATTATCATCAACATTAGCATTACCATTAGTATTAGCATTACCATTTTAGAATTAGTATTATGATTATGATTATGATAAGGATTAGAATTAGTATTAATATTAAGATTATGTTTAGTCTTAGGATTAAGATTAGTTTCGTATTAGCATTAGCATTAAAATTGGTATTAACATTAGTATTATAATTAGGAGTAGCATTAATATTAATAATAACATTATAATTCGCATTAATATATTAGGATTAGCATTAACATATTAGGATTAGTATATTAGTATTAGTTTTAATATGACTATAGTATAAATATTAGTATTAGTATTAGTATTAGTATTAACAAGGCCGGTTTTGGGGGAGGCGAAGTTGGCGGTCGCCTAGGGCTCTCGGATTTTTAAGAAAATTTAGGTCCCCCAAATTATGTTACATACACTTTATATATGAATACTTATTTTTTTAAACTTTATTATATATAATATTTTGGAACATCAATTCTAAAATAAATTTAATATAAATGATCAATAGATATTTTTTCAATTTTCTTAACCTTGGGGCCCCTAAATATTAAATTTATAATGTCTTAATTATTTATTATTATACCTAAAATAAGAATCATTATTCATTAGTCTATTTAAGTTTTATAAATATTTATGAAGTTTATTTTCTATAAAGATTATACGTCACGGGAGGAAGTGAACCAGCAAATCATCCTGTTAATTTTGATTTTTTTTTCCATATTTGAAGTTATTTTATGTTCATACATTTCAGAAAATGTTTCGGGGGCACTGCCCTTGAACCCCCGTAATCTTTATTTCATCATTTTTAGAAAATATTATTTATATGTTTTTAGTATATTTAATTTTGAACACCTTTTAATAAAATTGATTTGTCAAATAGGGCCCCCGGTTTTAAGTTGGTATTTAAATCTCGCCTAGGGCCCCTGAATTCTCAGGAACGGCCATGAGTATTAACATTAGTATTAGTATTTGTATTAGTAAGTATTAACATTAGTTTAGTATTTGTATTAGTAAGTATTATGATTATTTCTACTAGGATTTGGATTGGATTACGATTATGATTATTATTATGATTATGATTAGGAATATGATTATTATTATTATTAGAATTAGCACTGACATTAGAATTATAATTAGAATTAGCATTAGCATTAGCATTAGCATTTGAATTAACATTGTGATTATACGTAAGATTAGGATTATGATTAATATTAGCACTAGCATTAGGACTATGATTAGTAGTATTAGTTTAGGACTAATATTAGTACTAGAAATAGGCAGTAGAACTAGAGTTACGATTATCATTAGCATTAGTATAATTATGATTAGCATTAGCATTAGCATATAAGTATTAGTTTAGTATTATGATGAGCATTAGCATTATTATTAGCATATTAGTATGAATATTAGTATTGCGATATATTAGCATTTTGATTATTAATATTACTAGCATTATAATTAGAATTATGATTAGAATTAGGATTAATATTACCATTAGCATTAGTATATTAAGAATAATATTAAAATTAGTGTTAGCAATAGCATATTTGCATTTCTTTAAGGATTAGAATTATGATTCGTATTATTATTAGGATTAGGATTATAATTAGAATTAGAATTAGTATTAGAATTAAGATTAACATTAACATTAATATTAGTATTAGGATTATGATTATAATTTTGATTAGAATAATGATTGGGTGTAGTACTAGGATTAGGATTATGGTTAGGATTAGCGTTAACGTTATGATTAAGATTAGCATTAGGATTACTAATAGTAATAGTATTATTATCAGATTAGTATTAGTATTACTATATTAGTATTAGTATTAGCAATGGTAGGTAATGATAATGATAATGGTGACGGTAGTTGTAATGGTAGTGATTGGTATTGGTATGAGTATCGGTATTTGTATCGGTATCTATATCAATATTGGTTTCGTAATGATAATAGCAATGATAATGGTAATGGTAGTGGTAACGGTGTTGGCATTGGTGTTGATATTGGTAATGGTAATGGTAATGGTAATGGTAATGGTAATGGTAATAGTAATGGTAACGGTAATGGTAACGATGTACTCGCCATTTGTATACGGAAATTAAACCTTCGATATTTAGCTTCTTTTTTTCACTTATTTTGGCTGAATTTGTTATTTACATGAAATAAATTTTTTTAAACTTTGTATTGCACATTGATCTTACTATTCCGACAACTTTTTAAAATTAAATATTTATTTTTATAATGAATTTCCCGTGCAACGCACGGGTGAAGTACTAGTTGTATTTAGAATCCGGACCATTTTACATTATTCTACTCTCGATTGCCTCAATTTATCTCCTTGAACTTGCAAAATTGTCTCAATATGGCGATCGCCGTTAGTTTTCTGATTTTTTACCTTGACGCCGTTTGGTTAAGGCTTGTAAATTACAAAAAGCCCACTCCTTCTAATTGAATCGGTCGAGTTTCACTGAAAACCTAGGGAGACATCTTCCTCAGTCCTAACGGTGCTAAACGAGGATGCAAGAAAACGCTGCAATTTCAAACACCATGCAGCAATCTTCTTCCTACTTAAAGTTTTTTTTAGCCTCATATTTTAAAAAACAAAGTCCCCATATCGTATGTTCTAAAGCCACCGCCTACGTTCCTTTCATCTTCTTACAACATTTCAAAAGGCCCGGAAATTTCAGAATTTCGGAAAAAAATCGGGAATCACATGAATTTTAAAATTTCCAAACTTAGCGGAAATTTCATGAAAATTTCATAATTTTCTAAAAATAAGAACATCCACGTCGATAAAAAAAAAACAAACAAACTAATAACTACTAAAATTTGGTTCGAAAAAATAAATAAAAATAAACCACATCATAATATCCAATAAAACTTCTAATATCAGTTCAATATGTCAAAATCCTAAAACAAAATTTAAATCTAATTACTATTTCAGAAAACAAAAAAAACTATTACATAATATATATTATTTATAGGTGTATTTTTTTTGGAAATTAAAGCGGATAGGAAATCGGAAATTCCAATATTTTTATATAATCCCAATTCCAGTAAAAAAAAAATGGAAATTGGAATTTCGGAAGTCGGAATGAAAGCAGATGTTCCAAAATCGGAACTTTTCGGATCGGAACCGGCAGAAATTAGAATTTCCAATCCAACTTGCACCCCTACCTGCAGATGTCTTCGAGTTTCCAACATGCGGAAACGTTCAAAAATTGAAGTTTCCATGCTACATAGGTGGTTGTCCCTATCGATAACTGTTCAGTTGTTGCCAACATGATTGAAAAAGCTTAAACGCACAAATTTCTGCATTTTGAAAATTGAAAGAATTTAGAAAAATATATTATAGGTACAGTTATACGAGATTAGGAATATACCTGATATATGCTTTTATACTATAGTTATAATTCATTAGCAAGTATAAAACTAGTATTCACCTCTCATAGCGCCAAGAGCATATCATAACACCCTGCTGCAGAAAAAAAAACTTCAAAACGTACATGATTCCATATCATTTCGCAACGGCTAAAAGAAGATACCAAGTTCGTAAACCATAATCGAAGATTATTAATTCAATTGACTATAATACCTAATTCGTCTAACATTCGGAATCGTAGTACATCACCATAAGAAACGCTACTTTTACAGTCGAACTTAAAATCACCAACCCAAAAAAACATAAAAAGAAAATAACTCCCACTCCCGGTCACCAATTTACATCGCATTTCCTCATTTGGGAGAGACAAGTAAAAAAAACCCTGAAAACCGTTACTAACGATTTGCCAACCAACCAACGAACAAACACAAAAATGTGCACTCGCTTTCACGGGTAATGCTGAAAACCCTATTAAAGCAGTAATCTTCTTCTACTGCGCTTTCGGTTTCTGAATCTTCACATACGGAAAAAACCCTAAAAAGTGTTCGACTTTCGGGTCCCACCGTTTTTGTTCAGCACGGCAGTACATCAAGAAAGTATTGGCAAAGTAAGAATTGAAACCCATAGAAATGTGCCACAACGCATGCCCCTGTGGATTGAAATACCATCGAGAAATGTCCTTACAGAATTGACGGTCAACTAGCCAGCAAAGACTGCCCAACGAAAGAGTGACCACGTACAGTTTAGCTAGCCTTTTAGCCGATTTTTCTTCGGTGAGAATATAATACTTGTACATTCTTGGAATGCAGAGAAGGCAAAGCAGCACGTAGTGCACTTTGAAACCGATGTCGAAGCGAAGCTGTGAATGCGCAATGGCAAATGCTGCACCGTAGAGGAATAGAAAAGTGGGCATCGTGCTACGGTAGTGCCAATCTGGCGAGTAGAGGATGTAGATGTATAGGAGCATTTCCCACACCATAGGTGTTTCATCGCCTTGTTGTTGCCTGAAAAAAAAAAACAAGACGAAATTAATTAAACTTTCAAATATCAAGAAATCCTAAAGAATTAGAGAAAAACTGAGGACTTTTGTCGTTTTGAGATAAGTCAAGATGATTATTTCATTGGGTAAATTACGGTCACCCCTGAGGTAAGGTCAAATTACAAAAAAGTCTCTCCTATTTGGGTAATTACAACCACCCCCTCAACTACGAATTTTCTTACACATTCACCCTAGTGGTGTTAAATTTAGTGGAATCTTCTAGATTATGTGAAATATTCTCCAATTTATACCCGTTTACTTCCATTCGAGCTCCACATTTAGAACAAGATGATCATAAGATGTGTCTCTTGGCTTGTAAATATCAGATTGTGGTGCATCAGAAACTGCATTTTTGCACAAAACGAGTACAAACTAGAGAACATTTCACGGAATCTAGAAGATTATGTTGAATTTGACACTATAAGGGTGGACGTGTAAGAAGATTCATAGTTGAGGGGTGGTTGAAATTATCCAAACATGAGGGTTTTTTTTCGTAATTTGACCTTACCTCAGGGAGGTGGCCGTAATTTACCCTTATTTCATTTGATACATCTGTTCATCGTCACATAAGGCACTAACCAAATTTAACATCATCTTGTGCACTAAAAATGCTTAAAAATCACGTGATAAATTAACGCTAGGTATTGCTCTATCCGTAGAAATAGAACGAGTGAACAACTATTTACAGATCAATCTTTCAAAATAATCCATAACATAAAAATTCATTGCCATGCATCAGATTACAAATTAATCAGCCAATCAGATGATAACCAGTCAAATTAAAATTCATTACCATGCAAGTCTTGATTATTTGTTAACTCGTTATTCACCAAATGACTACGAACAAACTCGTATAATTCACTCAATCAGAAAAATAGAAAGGCAAGAACATAAAATAAAAACTTACAGCCGCTGCAATGTGGCGTGATACAGTATGCTGCCAATGGCAAGTATCATATTTGATATGTGAAGGACACTAAACCTTTTCTCAAACCGCTGCCTTAACGAATTCAGAAGACCAACGAGTGCTAAAAGGATGCTCGGAACGATAGAGATGGTATTGAAAAATTCGGCAATATAGGAAGAGTAGACGTAATTTGGCTCACACCACTCGTGTGTGGATGTGACGGGCCCCCAAAAACTTGACGCTCCGTCTGCCATTTCTCTGATATTTAGTCCCTGAACGTTATTATCCTTGCGAAGAATGTATTTACTTTCTACAGATCCATGAAAATATCAAGATTAGTGACCGAATAGTTATATGCTACACTAATTGTCTTTAAAATAATTTGGAAACTGTCAAAATTCCAAGGAAAGTAAATGGCGACCAACGTCCCGGCAGAAAAAAAAATTAACCTAGCCCATAAAAAATCTTATAAAAGCAAACAGCTAAGTCAGCATTAGATCTACTTAAGACATTTTGAGTTCCCCTAACCCTTCTCAGTTGCTTTTTCAAGTGACATTGTTTTGAGATTTGGTTCGCAATACCTCTTCCTAATTTGAACCGAATATTCGTTGACTGATAATCATCCTCTAGAGATAAAGAGATGGAAGAGACAGTGTGTCGAGCATGAACATTTCAAGAACAGTTCAACATGAAGCATCGGTAAACTTAAATACAAACACGCTTTTACCAAAACATAGCTACGCAAACTGAGAATTTGAAAGAAATTAATGTTTGTATCATTGCAGAATGTTGGTTCTGAAATGAAATATACACTGCGAATACAAATCAAGAAAACCAACACATAGATTTCAATATATTCTTTAAGTTACTCATAAGCTATTGAGAATCTTGTTTGTTTGGGTCGAGACTCGTTTTTGTTAATTGCTTAGGCCTGTCTTAAGAACTGTGTAACGAGAACAACTTTTGAAAAATAATTAGATGATTTTCAAGCAACTTTTTTTTTTAAGACCACAAATCCAAAGTGCACCCCCCAATTCATACGATAGAACTACTAACATTTAGCCATCAACTTAAGAGATTTATTAACTGGTCTAGAATCCCTTCACAAATCAATAAATAGTAATACATAGGAAGTTAAATAACATGCACCCCGTTTTCCTTCGACCTCCATGGTTATAACATACCATCAAAATTTGCATAGTATTCACACAGACCGAATGACCAATCACGTAAAAGTGCATCCAATGCGTCAAGTTAAAACAAGGATTTAAGTGAAGGAACGAGACTCGAACTTTTGCCGTCAGTGAAGTATCTCCTTTTCGTTGTTATAATTGATTAGTGTTATCACCAGTTTCGAGTGTATACACGACCATCTATTGTTATGACAGCCCATAGATCCCTAATACCCTAGTACAACATACCGTCAGCATTTGCTTAAAACAATACGGACTCGTTTGATTGCCAAGATAGGATTAGCCAAGATAAGATTAAATAATCTAATGAAAACCCAATTATTTTATTGGACCTCGAGACGTCTAACAAAAAACATGCCTTGAAGGCAAGATAGGCCACGATAACATAATATTTGCGAGTTGACCCGGCAAGTTATTGGGGATACCAAACATTAAACAAAGTCCAATTATTTAGTTAATCATGTCTAATCTCCCCAACCAAACGAGGCCTAAGTATTTAAATCCCTGATTAAAAAAATGTTGGAACTATTGCCACCACTAAAACTCCCTTCTCATTCTGAAGACAGTCGGGTTTTCTTACCAGTTCTCATCTATATAGAGGGGAAGTTATCTTATAACTTCAACAGAAACATCAAATTACCTTTCGTATGACCCGAAACATAATTTTTCAATCGCCAAAAAAAGAAGATATTTCATACGAATTTTCAAGTACGAACGCAAACAGGGAAAATTTTATTACTTAGCAATCATAAGGCAAAGGCACGAGAAAAGATGGGAAATCACTTATTCAGGACCCAAAAAAAAAATGCAGATGACTCTCATAGAAACGGTACATCAGCATGGTTGCTAAGGAATTAATCAGAAATATATTACGGAAATGTGTTCAGGCAATTCGTTGACCTCTACCATAAAGATATAGATACAATAAAACACTATGCAGAGGACCAAATGTACCATAAAAATCACAAACGCTCGGACTCGGGGAGAATGTCCATATTCTTCCAGTTAAGTAAATACTCCATAACTCCCACTATAGAACTTAGTTGTTTTTCGGTTTTTTTTTTTGTTCCTCTTTTTTTTTTTTTTTGTGCAGTATGTTGCCGAAATAAGGTATTTCAAAAAAAACGCCGATCGGCTTCCGTGTTGTTTACCGGAACCAATCAAATAAGACTGATGAATGAAGCTTACATTTGGTTCAAAAGGCAACATTTTCTTCCAAACTAAAGGTCTAAAGAATCACCAAACAGAATAAATGACCGTTAAAATTTAACATCAATTCGTTCAAATAGAAATTTCACAACCAGAAAACAATCTTCAAAATAACATATACATACACATATACAAATCGATCAGTTTCCGCGCCACGTTCACCACCATATATATAACATATACATACACACACAAAATCGCAAGCTTCACACATGAAAATTCAATTTCGTAATTAAAAAATAAATAAAATTGTTCGTATAAAAATACAGTATAAATATACGTATTCACCTTCCGAATTCAGATCTGAGCAGCGTCGTCCGCTCGCAACGGTGTGATTTCAAATTTCAGCGGATAGATGTACATGCATACCATTGCCCACTGTACATGGATGCAAATTCGTATGCGCTTTTCCCCTTTTTTTTTTTTTTTTTTTTTTTTTTTTTTTTAATAATTATATTTTTATTTATTTATTTATTATTTGAAATCGGAGAGAGGGATTTGAACCCTTTTCAGTTTCTAATGCTTGATTTTGACCAGATTCGGGGTGGTACGCACGCGCGACCTTTGGCACGTGGTTGTAGGTTTCACTTTGGTCCGTGTTCCAAAGAAGGGTATTATCATCATTGTCGCATATACCCCCATATACTATAAAATGAGACAAAATAATCCATCAACTTAACGGTCAACCCTCAAATATTTAACCACGTTAGTTTATATAGTGTGGTTACCTTTTTACTCTTACATTAATTAATATGATATAAGTAGGCCTTTTTTGACTTTATTACTTGGTCAATTTTTTTTTACTTTATTACATAACACTTCGATGCATCGACAAGTGATGGTTCTAGAAAAATATGTCTTGTAGTGTTTGGACGTAAAAAATGAGATGTATGAATTTGGATAGAACTAAAGGTCGGGAAGCATTTGAAATGATAATTTTTAGGCTGAAAGTTCAAAAGAAAATTCTTCAGAATGCTAAAATGAATTTAAAAATCTTATCCAAAATAAAAGAAACTCATAAATTTTAGGCGATATTTTTAGGCTGGGAACATAATTGCAAATTTTCATAAATTTAAAAGGAAATTATAAATAGTCTTCTTAATATAATTTTTTTCAGAAAATTTGGGTGAAATTTTTAGGTTATGGAAAATTAAATTAGGGAAGAAACATGAAAAAATTCATAGTAAAATGAATACAACACTTTTCATACATAACTATAGGGTATTTTCGTCTGAAATTGTTCAACATTTAGTGCAATGCTCTCCCAAAGAAATTTGTGACAAGCACAGTTAAACCTCTATAAATTATTACAGTCGGGACTAGCAAAATTCTATTAATTTAGCGAAATATTAAATTATCGAACTAATAATTAGTAGGTTTTTATCGAGTCGGACTATTTAAGCGAGGTTATTAATTTATCGAGGTTCTAGTGTAAGTTACTTCCTTTTTATAGGTGTATCAGCACTTATGCGTTCTCTAATTTTCGATTCGGTGAACTATATGTAGCACTATGGCTTAATTTTCATGGAAATTTTATTCGGATTTTTTTCGGTGTTTTTTTGTATATGAAAATCATTTTTGAACTTGTATAGGAACGTGACACTAGACGCAGCATAGGTATAGCGATAGAATTAACTTACCGTTTGTTGCCGGTTTCTATATCGTTACATGTGAAGTCGAGTTTGAGTAGCATCATTTTGCAGTACTAAAACTTGTCTGGCATTTGATTTTCTTTAATTTTCAGATATCACGCGATTCATAAAGAGGTATATGATTGGTTCGATATAAGCTTCGATGAGTTCGGTCGCACCTCGAGTCCGCAGCAGACTGAAGTATGTCAATCAATTTTGAAGAAACTATTTCGAGAATGAATGTTTTTCAGAAAACACAATGCAGCTGGTACAATATTATTCCTAAACTAATATTCTATCATTTTTTTTTTTTTTCGGTGCTGAAGCTTATCGATCGATTTGTTTGTGAAGCTATACTGCGATAGATGTGAAAGATTCTTAGCCGAACACAGAGATTCACACGTAGAGGATTTAATAAACAGTTGAGTTTAAACAATGGTTGTGCTTAATGAACAGGTTTGTCGGGATACTCCATGCATCCGTGATACAAACCACCTGTTTCTTGAACTTCCGAAGCTGAAGGATAAGTTAGAGGAATATATCAGCGCCACGTCAGCGTCCGGAGGGTGGAGTCGTAATGCTATTCAAATAACAGACGCTTGGCTTAGAGAAGGGCTTAAACCACGGTGTATCGCTAGAGATTTGAAATGGGGAGTTCCTGTTCCGCACGAGAATTTTAAGGACAAGGTAAATTGATTCACACGAGACACTTGTCCACGAAGTTATTTTGTTGCTTTGAATTAGTTATTAATTGCATACATGTTCTAGATTGTACCGAATTACTGCAACCACAGCTGATTACTGTATTAATTCACAATATTAGGCATCAGACACAAAATTCCAATGGACAGATTTGCAAGCAAAGTTGAACAATGAGCTGCGGAGCTAGCAATCTAGGAAATCTCGTCGACCGAGTCTTGAAATTCATTGCCAAAGATCCAGGTATACGTTCAATCTACGGAGCTTTCATCAAATCCATTTTTTGGTTAAGAACTTTTAAATTTTTCTTTTTTAATTTTTAAATTTTTTTTTTTTAATCATAGCATGGAAATCATTTTACTGATTGCTTATCTATAGTGGAATATGTATCTAATATGGATGTTTGTTTGCCAGATAAAATTTCATCTCTGAGAATTCCAAAATATAATATGGTTAAGAGTAGTACCTATAGGAATTTCATTATTGCACTAGTAGAAAAAAATGGTTTTTTACTACGACCATCAGGGGCGGACCCAAGGCTTGTGTTTGGGGGGCACCCGCCCCTGCAGAAAATTTTTTTTTACCTTTTTTTTTTTTTTTAATTTTTTTAATATTTTGGCTTATTTATGTATTAATTTATACACTTTAGCCCCCCCAAAGTTAAAATTTTATACCATTTTACCCCAAAACTTTTTTTTCGCCCCCCCACCCAAAACCCCCTGGGTCCGCCCCTGACGACCATTAACCGTAGCAAAAGGTATCAAATTCGTAGTAAAAAGGCTTTTGCTACGCATTTGCTACGGTAAATGGCCGTATCAAATATTTTTTTGTTACAGTAAATCCTAGTATTTACTATGAGTTCAAAATTGTTCCGTGGTAAAAAGTACCTTTTATTACGGTTTTTTACCGCAGCAAAAAAATTCGTAGTAAAAAGTGAATTTTGTACTGGTGTTGCTAGCATGCATTTGACTTTCCAAGTCCTATCAATATACATGAAGAATTTCAAATTTCAATTTGTATGTATCTGAATGGTTGAATTTGTTTTTATGTGAATGTTTGCCTTTTAACGTTGCAAAGGGTTCTTTTTCTTCTTCTTTCTTTTTTTTTTTTTTTTTTTTTTTTTTTTTTTTTTTTTAAAATTCCTGGAAAAAAATTATTTGGTTTATGACCAGGCTCGTTCCTGAGAATTCGAGGGCCCTAGGAGAGGTTTAAAGAACAACTGAAAACATGAGCCCCTATTTGATAAACCATTTTTTTTATTAATGGATGTTCGAAATTGAATGTACTAAAAAAATATAAATAATATTTTTGTAAAATATGAAATAAAAGATTATGGGGGGTTCGGAGGCAGTGCCCCCGAAATAATTTTTTAAATGTATGAATATAAAGTAACTAAATATATGGACAAAAATTCAAAACTAATAATATGATTTCCAGGTTCACTTCCTACGGTGACGTATAATCTTTATAGCAAATAGATTTCAAAAATATTTATAAACTTGAATACACTAATAAATATTCATTCATATTTTACAATAAAAATAAGTAATTAAGGCATTATAAATTTAATATTTAGGGGTCCAAGGTTAAGATCATTTAGTTTAAATTTATTTTAGATCTGATGTTCCAAAATATTATATATAATAAAATTTTAAAAATAAGTACTAATATATAAAGTGTATATAAAATAATTTGGGGGCCCCAAATTTTTGTAAAAATTCGGGGACCCAAGGCGACCGCCTACTTCGCTTCCAAAGTTCAGTGTGTCGATTCGCACCCGGTGACGAAAGAGTCGGGACGTAAAGTCGGTGAGCTTGTGCAAGACACTATATAGAAGCAATGGAGAAGGTGAAACTCAAGGAAGCCTTGAAGAAAGCCATGAATATATCCGGTGAAGGAAATAAATATATACTTGACGGTAAAGACTTTCTTTCCTATATTTTATTTTGTTTGTTTTACAATGTTTTACGATGCCAAGGTTTGATTTTGAAATTCTATGATGTTAGGAGACCCATTACTATAAGCTTTACAAGGATGACGAACCCACTTGCGCTCTGATTCTGAAAACTTCGGTTGGGATCGTTTATCTTCTGGCTTACTTCATCTTATGTTTATTCTTCTAAAGGTAATCTTCAAAGAAGGAGAAGCTGAAAAATCTGCCAAAACAAACACCAAGCATATAAAACTCTGAAGGAATGCAAAGAAAGTGACAAATGAGCTAACACAAATTTGTATAGGGACAAAAAGGTAATTATCCTGTTAGATAGATATAGATAGATATAGATAGTTGGTATCATATGTAAGAATTAAGAAGCCAATTATCAGGTATCATATGTAAATTATGGCTATGTTAGCATAGGTGGATACTTAGTTTTATGATAAATAAAAAATAGGCCCATGACAAAGATACTTAATTAAAACAAGGATATCTTTCTCTTTTGTCTTGTAAATATATGCACCTCATTCAATCTTATTTGTTAATGAGAAAAAACTCTTTAATATATACAAAAGTTAGCCCAAACTCCTTGAAACCCACTTTCATCAATTAACAAATTCCAATCCTTATTCCAATTTTGAACACAGCCTTCGGTGACCGGCTGGTCAGCCGCCGTTAACCTTTTTTTCTGAATATTTTTTTTTTCTGGTAGATCAGTTGGTTTCTGGTGTTGACTTATTTTTTGAAAACTTAAAAAATAAAAAACTAGTTTTCCATTAATATTACTATCTTTGACAATAATATTACTATCTTTGACAATAATATTACTGTCTTGGCCTGCAATATTACTGTTTGAGACACGGTAAAAGACAATAATATTATTGTCAAGACAGTAATATTACTGTCTTAACTCCTAACTGTAATATTAATGTCTCAAACAGTATTATTATTGTTAACACAATAATATTAATGTATTAATTAACTTTATCGTCTTGACCTGCAATATTGTTATCTCCGACCGTAATATTACTGTCTCCGACAGTAATATTACTGTTTGGGACAATAATGTTTGTAATATTACTATTTGTGACAATAATAATAGTAATATTATTGTTTTGACATTCAATATTACTGTCTCAACAGTAATTTGT